TATATGCTTGTAAATTAAAATAAAATTAATTACAAAAAAAAGTTAATTAAAAAAAAAATTTCTTAAATAAAATCAAATTTCCAATTGTTTTGAAATTCCAAATTTTCAAATGTTTTCGCGGCTCAACGTATGCATTTTAAATAAATAATTTGCTTTAAAGATAAAATGAAATTGTGAAAATAAACCATGAATTTCCATATCTATTTTGCTCCTACAATTGTATAGTGAGAAAATATCCTTTTTATTAGAGAAACTTTAAAATTGCTACAATATTTTTCAATATTATTTAACACAATAATAACTGAGCTGAAATAAATAATTCAAGAAAAATTATGAGAAAGAAATTTTTTCACTCTAGTGAAAGATCAATTTTTATTTACAAAAAAAAAATTATTAGCAAAAAAATAAATAATAATTACTTTATATTTTTGAAGTGATTGCATCATTATTAAGAAAATAAACTTTTTTCTATTCTAAAACGGCATATTATGTGCGTCATTCCCATAATATTATAGGAACCATTCCTATAATATTATAGGAACCATTTCTATAATATTATAGGAACCATTCCATTATTGTATAGGAACGTTTCCAATAAATTATGGGTATGGTTCCCATAATGAGTATAGGATCAATGCCTATAATGATAATTTTATTATAGGATCCATTCCCATAATTATTGGAAAGATTCCTATAAATTTCTCTCCGTGTACCAGTTTAGCTATCCGAGACACTGTTCATAATTTAAATTTTCAGTCATCTATGATATGGCACAATATTGTGATCAAATAACGGATTCTTATATTACAATTTGGAAATAAGACTTATATTTATTACTAATGATAAAAATAAAATATTCTCGATTACTAAATATTTGCAATCACTTGTTTTTACATTATAATATGAGTATTGTTTTTTTGATCACTGTATTGTGCAAAATATTATTTTATTTACAATTATTTATTATGAACCGACCCGAGTCGAAATTTAATACGTAGATTCAACGTATTGAACGTTCAAATCGTAGATTGCGCGTATTAGAAGTTGAAAACGTAGGATCAACGTATTGAACGTTAAAATCGTCATTTGAACGTAATGAACGTTAAAAACGTAAGTTGAACGTATCCAACGTATTATAAATGTGAAGAGAACCAATAATGGGTGAAAATAAGTAATCCTACAAAAAACAGTTTCACTGTAAAATGTCGCGCCAAGTACACGTCCAACTATTGTAACAGAGACAATGATAACCTCATTATTGCAAAAATAAAAAAATCTGATCTTTACAAAAAAATGTGAAATAAAAAAAAAACCAAGTACACAAAACTCGGATTAAAAAAAACACTCATTAAAAATGGTGAGAATTGAAAAAAAAAAATTGGTGTAGTTTATTTATAAAAAAAACGAAAGAAAAATTTGCACTTTATAAAAAAATATAAAATAAAAAAAAAC